AATTGATTTGACTACCTATGTCACCAAAGTGCACTTACTTTTTCGGGAGCACATCCAGAGAGAACTCCAGAGTTAAGCGTGCTTGAGCTGGAGTAGTCAAAGGATGGGTGACCTATCGTGAAGTGATTTGCGATACCGTGTAAGTGAGGTCAAAGTACGGGGAAAGGTCATGTGGTGATTTCAGGGTCAGTAAACATGACTCTAGAGCCTTGGAAATTAACGGACCGACCGTTGGAACGGGATGGGGCCCACGGGCCGAGTGAGCGGGCGTGGGTGGCCCATTAGCCATGGACGATCGGGGCGTTACAATAACATGCACGAAATAAAAAGATTTAGAGCTCCTTTTTTGTCAAATTTTTCCATTTGCATTTGAGACCAGAGAAAGCGGCAATTACATGTCTGTTGTGACTTCTAAGTTATTTCTATGCACAGTTGATTCAAGTAGCTTGGCATCAAGTAAGAGCTATCTTGCAATTTTGTGATGGTTCTTTCTTGATTGCTCGTCCTTCCTAGAGATGTCCACATGTGCAGTTTTGCGGGTTCCATATAAAAAAAAAATATTTGTTGTGAAGTTTTGTTTTAGTTTTAATTATGAACTAGTTTCTAATCTATGAGTCCGTGCAGATGTATGTTTTGTATATATATGTTTGTATTAGTTGTAAAAAAATATTTATATTTATGTTTTCATAGGTTATTGAGTTAATAACCTATGATGTTGGTGTATCTTGTTCATTTTGTTTAGTGTTTTTTTATCTATCAAATTGTATTTTTGTTGATATTGTACTTTTTTATTTGGTAAACTAAACAATTAAGTGTAAAATATTAAAGTATCTTGTTTACATTGTGTGTATTTTATTAAATTATGCTATAAATTTGTGATTAAAAAGTACAATTTAAAATTAGATTTTATAGATATTTAAAAAAAAAAAAATTATTTAGACAACAACAACTAAAAAGATTCACACAAAAATAAGAGTTTTAAACAATTTTATCAACAAATGATATTTTTAAATTGAATTGGACAATTTGGTTTTGATTTAAAATTAATGGACCCTAAACATATATTTAACTCTATATAAGAGTAAAACTACAATTTTTTAATTGCAATGGCATTCTATTATAATTTTTAAGGAAAATTAATGATTTTCTTTTTGTACTTCTCTTTTAATAGATTAGATAGATTGAAATCATGAATACAAAACCATAGATTCGGTATTTTTTAACTACAAGACACTAATAACAATAGAATACAACCAAAATAACAAACTCAAACCTTCTGTATTGCAGGTTCCCAGGCCTACGAAACATCCAACGATCAATGAGTACCAAATGATGCAGAAGCATTGTAAGCTGATGTAAGCAAATCTCTCTTCTATTTAGTTTCAAATCAAATCCAGGGCCGATTAAAAAGAAAACTTATGTATTGTTCGTATATGTTGTTAAATTTGAAAAAATCAAAACGTATCACTATTTCATTTGTATATATACAACTAAAGAAGTTCTGTTAACTATAGCCATGAGATCAGTACTAAAGTAAATTGTAGATCAAACCTTTACAAACATAAAATATGAAACTAACAACAAATATAAATTCACTATACATTCTTAGATCGCCTTAATCAACAAGTGTGACTTCTAATATTTCTTTCGTACATCATCTAGATAAGATGCATGGGCAAAGAACAAAATGTGAAGCCAGTAACACAAATGTTAAACAGCAAAACTAAAGATGAAATACCACACACAAGACAACACAAAAGCATCAAAAAAGCTCTCGATCCCGCGTTTGCACGAAGACTATGCCACTAGTGTATTGTGTATCATACATGTATCTTGAATATACCTTAAATAAAACATACATGTATGCAAACCGAAACCTAAATAGGTAATATGATAGGGAATCATAATATAAAGAATAACATATGAAATTAATGTTTGATTTTAAAATCATACTATAGAATTGGAAAACAATATGAATTCAATCAAACCAAAATTGTACATCGAAACCATATATATTGCAAAAATATATAAGTAAAGTAAACACAGTATCAATCATCTATCAAACTTTATAATATAATAGGCATCAAAGAATTCAGAAAGGAAATTTTATGCATGAATTGAGGTTGTGAATTCAGAAAGGAAATTTATTACTAATAATATAGTTTAATGACAATATATCACTCATAAGCCATCAACTCCTACAAAACCGGATTGGTTAACAAATTATCAATTTACCATAATATCTTTTGATATCTTTTCATTTTAAATATTAATATTAAAATAAAAAATTCTATAAAAAAATTTCAAAAGATTTTTTTCAATATATTAATTGTTAATAATTATATATAAATGTTTTCACTAAAGTTCGTCATTAGTTTATATATATATAATTTAAAAATTATATGTAGATGTTTTAACTAAATTTCGTCATTATATATATAAATTCTAACAAATAAGTTGAAAAATAATTTAACAATATCTTGATTTCAAAAAGTTATGTAAATAATTCACTAATTTTATTGTTAGCAATAAGCTATTACTATGCATTAATATATTCAGTTATCGTTTATAAATAAAAAATAATACTATATTCTATTTTATCTATTATATAGTCATAATAAATCATATTAAAAATTATATATTGAACTAAATATGATAAAATTCTATTAAACTATAAATTTATATATTTATTTTCATAAATATAAAATAATTTTATTATTAGCAATGAGCTATTAGTATACATTAATATATTCAGTTATCGTTTAAAAAAAAATATTTTATTATATTTTATCTATTATATAATCATAATAAATCATATTAAAAATTACATCTTGAACTAAATATGCTAAATTATATTAAATACGGTTTTGAAAGACGGGTCCAAATTTAACATAAATTAAATATAATATAATTTTTAAATATGTTGTTTGATGCATAAATTATTTAGTTTAATAATATAGAGTAAGAAGTGAAAAATATATGTGAAAATTTTAACAATTGATTAATTATAACAAGTAAATTATAAAATTATTGTATTTAAAAGAGTAATATAAACATTTAAATATATGATTAACGTTATAAATGCATACCACTAATAATCTAAAAAGAATATTTATGTATACAAAACTAAAAATAAACATTCGCGCGGTTGCACGGATTTTAATCTAGTTTAATTTAATCTCGTATTAGCGATGTGAACAAGTTCAACGAGCTTTGTTCTAGGTGGAGTTGAATCACATTTAAATATAAATCATTTTTAGCATGTCACATTTTGGAAACCACTCAAATTATAATATTTCACTTAACTATGTCTTCAATTGATAGCATGATGTTTCTAAAAAAACACTATAAACTAGTTTATGTTGTTAACCAACGATTATTGGTTGTCTTCATAGAAACAATCATCTCATCTATACTATTATTTGCGAAGTGATTTTTCGCAACGAAGCTCCCACGTTAAAAGTTAAAGTGGTTAATATCGTTTATACTCTTAATGAATAAAATATATAAATTAGACATAAAATAAAAACGAAACTGATATTTATTTGATTAGATAAATGATTTAAATTAATAATAATGATAAGAATTATCTATAATCTAAATATATATTTAAAAAAAAAGATAATTCCTATATATATTGTGTTGTTATCTGGAAAATATATTTTAATAAAAAATCAAAAACATAAAACACATAAATAAATACTCATAAAGAAACTTTTTAACTGTACATAATTGAAAAGAGAAAATTGAAAATTTTATAATACGTAATTATTTTCTAATTAAAAGAATATAATAATATAACATAATGATATATATATTTGTGAAATAAGTTTTCGCCTCTTAACTCACACGTTAAATTAAATTTATTTTATATTTTATATAGTATAACATTAAACATGAATTAATCATCTATACTATTATTTGCGAAATGATTTTTCGCAACAAAACTCTCACATTAAAAGTTAGAGTGGTTAATATCGTTTATACCCTTAATGAATCTATACTATTATTTGCAAAGTGATTTTTCGCAACAAAGCTCTCACATTAAAAGTTAAAGTGGTTAGTATCGTTTATACCATTAATGAATAAAATATATAAATTAGACATAAAATAAAAACGAAATTGATATTTATTTGATTAGATAAATGATTTTAATTAATAAAAATGATAAGAATTATCCATAATCTAAATATATATTTAAAAGGAAAAAAGATAATTCCTATATATATTATGTTGTTATCCGGAAAATATATTTTAATAAAAAATCAAAAACAGAAAACACATAAATAAATACTCGTAAAGAAACTTTTTAATTGTACATAATTGAAAAGATAAAATCAAAAAATTTACAATACGTAATTATTTTTCTAATTAAAAGAATATAATGATATAACATAATGATATATATATTTGTGAAGTAATTTTTCGCCTCTGGACTCACATGTTAAATTAAATTTATTTTATATTTTATATATTATAACATTAAACATGAATTAATCATAATAAAATAAAAGATCATTCAAAAATAAAAATAAAAATACGTTGTTGGCAAAATAAATTCAAATTTATTGTATTATTATCCAAACTAATATTATTACTTCTGTAAGATCAATTTTGAATTTATATTTATTGATTCAATTTATCAAATTGAAAGATAAGTTTCTATATTTTTAATCAATTGAGAAGAAATGAAACAGATTTTCGATTTTGTTTTTAAAGTTTTAAAGGGAAAAATAGATTTTTTTTTTATTTATGAATAATTTTATCATGTAAAAACGTTTAATGTTTTAGGTCTAATTTTTTGGATGAAATTAATCATTTATTTGGATGATTTTAAATTGTCTTAAAATAATTAAGCCCGCATGTGCGGCCAAAACACCTAGTAAGCATGTAACTACTAACTAACACAATCAAATCATAAACTTTATAAAAACAACCAATAACAATATCCTAAGATCTCGACAAGTTGTATGAGATCCAGTCTCGTTGCTGACTTTAATTTAAGAGCTAGGACATTCAACTATATATTCTGCGGAAATGCGTAAAGTATCTTCACCAGAGAGGGTACCTCTTTCAAACTGACTTGGGTAAGAGAAGCCTGAAGTCTCATCATTACTATCTTCACTAGTTTCTTGAACCGTTGTTCCAGCTAAACACAAGAGATGCTTAGGTGGTAACTCGAGAGCTTCTAGACTCCCCTCTAACATTTCAATGACTTTGATCATTGCTGGACGACGAGCTGGATTGGTCTGAATACACCATAGACCAACCAATACCAATTTTCTAGCAATTTTCTCTTCTTCTTCGGTTATCTGATCTCCAAAAATCTTCATGATTTCTTCCCTCTCCAAATCCTTATAAATCCAATCTGGAAAGTACATTGAACTATTGTTAGATCCAGAATGTTGGAAGGTTTCTATATTCCTTGCTCCAATCATCTCAAGAACCACCATCCCATAACTATACATAGTCATGGGCAAATTATCCGAAATCCGAAAACCGAACCGGAACCGAACCGAAAAAACCGAGACCGAAACCGGTCCAAAAATTACAAAAACCCGAACGGTTCCTATATTTCTAAATCCGAAAAACCGAAACCGAACCGAGACCGAACCGAGAACCGAACGGGTACCCGAATATTTTAAATTTATTAAAAATATTAATTATTTTTAATTTTAATATATATATAAAATATCATTTATAAATAAAAAAATCCGAACTACCCGAAAAACCCGAATATTTTTCGGTTATTTCCGGGTTTAACTCGGGTTTTCGGGATTTTTTCGGTTTATTGGGCTTCAAACCCGAACTAAACCCGGATTATTTGTAATACGGTTCCACTTCGGGTTTTATAAAAAAATATAAACCCGACCCGAACCCGACATTATCCGAACCGAACCGATCCGAAAAATGTCCGGTTCCTAAACGGTTCCTAAACATCCTAACCCGAATAACCCGAAAACCGAATAAACCGAACCGATCCGAACCGAAAACCCGAATGCCCATGACTAACTATACACATCAGACTTATGCGAGACTACTCCAAAGTTCTTGGAAAACACTTCAGGGGCAATGTATCCTGCTGTTCCTCTTGCATCAAGCATTGATATGATGCTTTCTTTATTTTTGCAGAGCTTAGCAAGACCAAAATCTGCAATTTTGGGACAAAAATCTTTGTCCATGAGTATATTTTGTGGCTTTATGTCGAAATGCACAATCCTTGACACACAACGATTGTGCAAATACTCTAGGCCCCGAGCGATACCTAACGCAATATTATATAGCTTTTCCCATTCCATCTTTGCTGACATATGCTCGGAAATAAACTTGTCCAAGGATCTATTAGGCATGAACTCGTAGATTATAGCTCTCTTGTTTCTTTCGTAACAGAATCCAAGCAAAGAAACAATATTAACATGAGAGGTTCTACTCATGCTAGCTACTTCATTTATGAACTCTTCCCCGTTCCCCTTTGACTCCTTCAAGATCTTCACTGCAACATCTTGGTTTCCCTCTGATAACTTCCCTTTATAGACAGTTCCAAATCCTCCTTTCCCGAGGGCATTTGCAAATGAGTTTGTCATCTTCTTGACTCTTGCGTAACTATAATGTTTCAACATTATAACCTCTTCAATGTTTGCAACATTCCAATCACTCTTTCTCGCATTCTTTGCTCTTACTATCATCGCAACGATAATAATGATCATCACAAATGAAGCTGCTGACACTCCTGCAATAAGAGAACAATTCTTTAAACTACGGTTTTATGCACGTGAGAGTTCTGTTAAATGAGTTGAGGAATAGCGTACCGAGTATGAGATTTAACTTGGACTTGTGCACTTTCGAGTTATTACCATCACCATTTGCTCCAACCAAAAGTTCATTGGTGATTCTAATTCCATCTAACAAAAGAATCACTTTTTTTGGTCCGTGAAAAGTCATTTGGCACAACAAAAGAACAAATATTGTATATTGAGCATTATGTGAACTCAAAAGATGTTACTATTTTCATCAGTGGAGGTAACAAAATGACGATAGAAGAAACTAAGCGTAGTATTCATGATGATCTGTGTGAGGCAAGGAATCTCATCTGCAATAAGTCAAATTGAATATGGAGGTAGAGGTGGTGCTGCTGAAAATAGTAACAGCTTACCTCCACTGATGAAAATAGTAACAGCTTTTGAGTTAGAAAATAGTAACAGCTTTTGAGTTAGAAAATAGTAACAACAAGAGGTGGTGCTGCTGAAAATAGTAACAGCTCATAAGGACATTTGTAGAAGCTTTGGACTCTGTTCCATGTTAAAGGAGCGTATGGAGAGTACACACTTGACAGTGGATACATCTAAACATAAGCAGATATTCTCGAGGACCAAGCTGAGAGCGTCTAATAATGCAGAGCCGGTTTAATATCTTCCTCAACCTGAGGTCGAGTTTGGATTCCCGAAGAGATGCTACTGTGGTGGTGAACCTCTACAAGCTACATCGTACACAAGAAATGATCCCGACAGAAGGTAGTTCACGTGTGATAATCGGGATGATGGAGAGTGCCATGTTTAGAAATGGTGGGATGTGGTGGCTACGTAGGAGATGAAAGCCATGGAAACACACTATGGGCAGCTCGCTGAAATGGTAAATTATCTAACCTTTTCGAGTGAATTTGAGACAGAACTTCAGCAGATTAAGTTTCTCCATAATGACACTGAGGAAAAGCTAGAGAAGATAGTCTTTGACTTAGCTAAGAAGAAATCAAGGTTTGAATTGGTTCTTGGTGTCATTGCTATTGTATTTGTTATTTTAGGTATGGTGGTCATGTTTTAGTATAACAAATTGTATTAGAAGCTGATGTAATGTTCATAATGGAGAAAGCGTACATTCTGAGAAAGAAACCAGCATCTGAAAGACATTTTACATTGGTACCCATTGGTAATAGAGCTCGGAAACTGTCACAATGCATCAGTGAAACTGTCACAATACTCTGAACTTCCTCTATGCTTCTGTGAACAGCTTTGAAATACTTTATTTTGAATCGTTATGAAGTGAATGACTAAGCCGTTTGCATCTGTGACTATCTTTGAGATATAAACAAAATGGGACAAGATTACTTATTGTTTGCATCTACGACTATCTTTCAGGTTAAGAAACAAATGAGACAAGATTATAGCTACACACAGTCCTCTGAATCAGAGGCGTATGGAAAGTACACACTTGACAGTGGCTACAGCCAAACAAAAGCATATATTCTCAAGGACCAAGCTGAGAGCGTCTATAATAATGCAGAGCCGGTTTAATACCCTCCTCAACTTGAGGTTGAGTTCGGATTCCCGAAGAGATGCTACTGTGGTGGTGAACCTCTTCTAGCTACGTCTTACACAAGAAATGATCCCGATAGAAGGTAGTTCACGTGTGAGAATCGGGAAGATGGAGAGTACCATGTTTGAAAATGGTGGGATGTGGCAGCTATGAACGAGATAAAAGCCATGGAAACACACTATGGGCAGCTCGTTGAAAAGGTAAATTATCTAACTTGTTCGGGTGACTTTGAGACAAAACTTCAGCAGATTAAGTTTTTCCATAATGACACTGAGGAAAAGCTAGAGAAGATAGTCTTTGACTTAGCTAAGAAGAAATAAAGGTTTGAATTGGTTCTTGGTGTCATTGCTATTGTATTTGTTATTTTAGGTATGGTGGTCATGTTTTAGTAGAACAAGTTGTATTAGAAGCTGATGTAATGTAATGAAACTGATCATTGTATGTTTAACCATGTCCGATGTAATGTAATATCTCTGATATTTTGGAACAAATGTTTTTGTAATGTCACGGATTGTAGTAGACAAATAACAAGTTTCACATGTGTTGTCTGATTGTAATTTAGACTTTGATGTTTTGTTTGTTTCTTCCACAGGAAAACAAGCAGTATTACAAGATGATATTAGACAAATATCAAAAGTCAGGGAGCTTCACATGTGTTCAATTCTTTTATCTATAAGTAGACGACATCTTCTTTCATTACTATATACAAATCACAAATCATCACTCTTTCACTCACATCCAAACATTTTCTCTTTTTTTTTTTCAATTCTAAATGGTATCTTCTTTCCATTATCATTACAACAAAGATGATGATGAGGATGATGCTAATTTTGAATCCTTATTTGACGATTATTCTGAAAACTCTTTTCCTATTTCAAAATCAACAGAGCAAAAACCATATTTTTATCAAGAGAAAACGAGAAGAAGGTCACAATAAATTATGGAATGATTATTTTAGTGAAACTCCAACATACCCTCACAATTTATTCCGCTTACGGTTTCGAATGAACAAGCTACTGTTCATGCGTATTGTGCATTGTCTCTCTACAGAAGTAGCGTATTTTCAACCAACAGAAGATGCAACCGGACAATCTAGTCTTTCACCGCTCCAAAAATGCACTTCAGCAATTCGTCAATTGGCATATGGTGATGGGGCTGATACATGTGACGAATATGTACGACTTGGTGAAACAACAGCTCGAAAATGTTTGCATCATTTTACCGCCGGAATAATCCACTTGTTTGGCGATGAATACCTAAGACGTCCCACAGCAGATGATCTTGAAAGATTATTCCATATTGTAGAACAACGTGGATTTCCCGGAATGGTTGGAAGCCTCGATTGCATGCACTGGGAGTGGAAAACCAACAATTGTGTTGGAGGCGGTAGGTTCATATAACCTCTAGATATGGCACACGTGTTTTGGAGCTCCAAGTACTATGAACGATCTTAATATTCTTGATCGATCACTTCTTTTTGATGACATTATTATTGGTGTTACTCCGCAAGTCAACTTCTCTGTCAACGGACGAGAGTACCATTTAACTTACTATCTCACAGATAGTATTTATCAGAAATAAGCCACTTTTATTCAATCTATCCGACTACCACAAGGTTCAAAAAATTCATTATTTGCTAAAACCTAAGAATCTATGCGAAAAGATATTGAGCGAGCCTTTGGAGTCATGCAAACTAGATTCGCCGTTGTTAAAAATCCATCTAATTTATGGGATAAAAACAAAATAGCAAATATTATGAGAGCATGTTTCATACTCCATAATATGATTGTCGAAGATGAAAGAGATTCATACACTCAATATGATTTTTTAGAATATCAACGAGGAGAAGATGATGATCTTACATATTCTGTCGAAATGGCTACAAATCTCAGCAATACGCTTCAAGGTCGAACTAGATTTCGGGATAGACAAACTCATCAACAATTAAAAGATGATTTGATTGAAAATGTATGGACTAAATTTAGACATCTTCCAAATAACATATAATGTTTAAGTTTCTATGAGTTGTTTGATTTTTATTTTTAATTTATGTTTTTATTTTTTTTCTTTTAGATTTTTTAATGTCTTAATAGTAAGTTTTTTTAAAAAAAATTTTTTACTAACTTTGTAATTTTCTTATGTTTTCATGTTATATGATTTATTTAAAACACATCTTTTATATACTATTACTTATTAAAATATATAACCAATTTGCTAAGAAACGCCATAAAATCTCACCAATAATCTGCACTTTTGCTAACATCTCTTAGAATTGTCTCTTAACTTAAAAATAATAATAAAATGATCTAAAAACTCTACCAATAATGTTGCTCTTAGCATATCTACTCACCTCTTATATTGGGCTTTCACGAAGGTAAACGTGGGCCGACGAGACAAAAAATAATCTGAGAGAGGAATGGACTCAGCCGGACCCAAACATTGTAAAACCCGACCCGTTCCCATCCGGTCGGTATCACCCAAAAAGGAAGCGACGGTGACATGATAATAAATCATAAGAGGAGCGTCGAACTCCATAGAAAGAACTAAAAACAAAATCTCGTTACCGTCTCTCCAAGCAAGCAAGAAGAAGAAAGAAACCTCTCACTTCCTCACAGTCACCGGAAACAAAGATGCTCACAGGTCCCTCTCTTCTCTCCGATATCTATATCCTTAACTCGATTCGTATTCGTAATATAGTATCGGATCTAGTTTTCATCTCCGCCCTGAGAAGTTAGCTAATTAGGGTTTCTCGATTTTGTCGAGAAATTGAGTAAATGTAAACCCTAATTTGTAGTGGATTTTGTTTACAGTAAGCGTAAAGTGGCAGAAGAAGGTGTTTGAAGATATCGAGATTGATCCCACTCTGCCTCCTTACGTGTTCAAGGCTCAGCTGTATGATTTGACTGGAGTTCCTCCAGAGAGGCAAAAGATTATGGTCAAAGGTGGACTTTTGAAGGTAAAAGGATCTTTTGTGCTCACCAGATTGTTTATTTTCAATTTTGATTGACATTTTCTTTCGTTTTGGGCGCAGGATGATGCAGATTGGTCTGCTATTGGAGTGAAAGATGTAAAGCTCTCTCTCTTTTTATTCCTTCCTCAATTGCTTCGTTTTATGTGAAGATGCTTATTTTATTTACTTTTTTGTTTGTTACAGGGTCAGAAGCTGATGATGATGGGAACTGCTGATGAGATAGTGAAAGCTCCTGAAAAGGCTATTGTTTTTGCTGAGGATTTACCTGAAGAAGAGCAAGCCACTCATTTGGTATATTCCTTTTTCATTTCTGTTTGTAACTGTGTGATATGAGCTCTGTATATTTTTCCTTTATGGAGTCAAATGATAGAACATGAAACCGTTATTCCAGAACCCATGTACACG